TCCAAACAAAACTTGTAAAGTCGTTAGCAAAGTGAAGTGAAGTCTGGCCCTCTCCTTACTACCCAGCTGCTGCCGCAACTGAGAATCCAAGACACTGAGGGAGGAGGAGGAGGAGCAGCAAGGGAAGGTAAAGAGGAAGAGGAGGGGCAGGGGAAGGTAAAGAGGTTAAAGGTCATTCAAAACAAGACACACAGTACCTTAACAGTTTAGAGAGGGGAGTATCATCACATACTAAAGGAACGACACTAATGAATAATAATAATAATTTAATAATAATAATAATAATAATAATAAGTACTGGTGATCAGCTCCAATAGCTCTCCTAGCAGCTGTAGCCATGCCCCCTGCAGCAGAAACTCTGCTCCCTTCGGGTGACAGTATATTAGCATCTTTAGAGAAAAGGTTTATCAACTGATGGAAGGAACGTCCCTTAGGGATCAGACCATCTGAACTCCTTAGATCTGAACAAAGTAGGAGGAGTCAATATTGATAAACCACACCCACAGTGTACCTTCAGGGGGTTCAATTTTAGATGGTTCCTCCCACTCATATACAAACCTGTAGTTTGACACAAAACAATAAAACTCTGTCATAATCTTTAACTGAAGCTCATTTTCAGATTTATAATCTTTAATATCTTCAGATACTAATTTAACAACAGTTGGAAGCTGCTCCTACAGTCAGGTGGCCAGTGGTCAGGTGATTCATTGTGTTTATTGCCGGAATTACTTACTTCATAATCCTTTGACTTTAGGTAGACCCCATCAATAGCTTCAACAATACTCGTCCAATAGTTAAACTGTGCCTTACTAGTAATGAACACATCTTTATTTTTATTGACTATTGACTAAGAAGATGATAATTATAATTCAACCAATACTAATGGACTCACTACTAGACCAGGTCTCAGTTCCTCAAGTGTATTTTCAATACTTCGGCCAATGTGATCTAATTTTTCGCTGATCATGTTCTCATAAACTTTATCCGTCAGTTCCTTTCCTTTATATGAGGCTAACTGGGTACAGAATGATTTCACAACTGGACCAAGACCTTCCACAAAATAACGTAACAGAAACAAAGTCTTTTTAAGATCGTCCCGGATAATTTCATCTTCATCAGGTCCTTCATCTTCATCAAGACCAAGGCCTTGCTCGGGTCCTCTGGGGTTGAATACCTCCTCCCATGTCTAGCCAAGGGCCAGTGGTTAGCTTACAATATAGAGGAACTGTACCTCATAATAGGCAAAAAACTTCCTCATGTAACACCTAGTGGCATCTTCATCATCTTCTTCAATTTTAATTTTGGAAATGTCCGCAGATACTTGATACACGTGACTCCAAAACTTACTGCATGGACAAAAACATAATTAATTAATTAATTATGGTGAAATTCAAATTTACTGTTTCCTTGAGAGGAGGTGGAGAGATTCAGTGGATTCCTTCTCAGTGCTGAGGTAAGAACTGACCAAGAGACGAGCAAAAGGAATCTTCCTCACAGGGAGGATCTTATCATCAATAAGTATACTGAATATATTAAATAATAAATAAAATAATGAATACATAAATAAAACAAACAAATAAATAAATGAAGCACTATGGTGCAATGGACTCGCCTGCTGGAATTCACCTGAGTGATATGCATTACTTGTACTGTGATATTTAAGCAATTTGAAAAAAATTATTATTGACTGCATAGTAATAATGATAATAAAATAAGCTATGGGTGTGGTCAACAACTAGCTAGCTAAATCATGGCACATGGGTAGGAGAAAGAAGAAAAGCTGAAATTTATTTTAACATCTGAAGCTCTATTCAAAGAAGGAGTTGGCACAAAAAATTTTCCTAGATATTTAAAAGAGACTGAGAGAGTTTGGTTGTTCCTGCTTTCCCTAGTGCCGCCTGAAAAATTTTCAAAGAGGCTAAATCACAAACTTTGAGCAACTGTAACTCACAAACAACGAAGTTAGGACAAAATCGTTCTTTTTGCTTTTTGTTAGATGGGATTTTCTACCTCTGAAGCAAATCTCGGCCCTGTAGAGTGAAACACGAGCTCTCACCTGAAGAGAGGTCCCCTGGTTTAGCAGTTCACAGCTTTTGGTGCCACAGGATGCTACAAGAGCATAACTAGATGAAAGAAAGCAACTTCATCTGTTGCTAGAAGAAGAAATATAGCTCTAGACTGCTCAGACAAAAAGATAATTTTTTTTACAAATGAGAGCACTAAAGTGCGTACCTTCGACACAATCTGTATGTAACAGTTTCAATAAATTAAGAGAAAATTATTGGTGAAAGTTTTGAGACAGAGAAGAAGCTTCAGCATGTACTAGATCTATTAAAACTTAGTGAATGTTTTGAGACAGACAGAGAATTTTTTGTTTTTTTAGACAAAGAGCTCCAGCATATTTGCTGCTAGCTAGCTGCAGCAATGTAAAGGTGTGGCTGCAATGAAGGTGTGGCTCAATCAAGCCATGCTCCACCCCCACACCAGGGATATAATAGACTACGTAACCTATTACGTAGTCTATTATATCCCTGCCCACACACAGTAAATGGTGGTACATGGCCCTATGTGGCGAAGAAAGCTTTGGTTTTCTCGACTTTTAAACAGTTTAGCACACATTTGTTAGGTTCTATTTGTTGCATACAAACTGCTATCTAATCCCTAATGTTAAAAGACTCTGGCCGCTACCTCGGGAGAAGAGAGCCTCGCCTAAACTCACAAGGTATGAAAGTTTGGGCTATCATATCTCTAAAATGAAGACGATTGGAGCAATTTCTCTCGTATTAATGAAAGATGAGGCTTTGCTTTATTGTTTTATCTGCCCTGTTGCTCTTTTGCTTTCACTACGAAAGAGCTGCAGGAGAGCCGACTACATTTGGCGACTTTGCCAGCTTCTTTTACCACGGAAAAGACAAATCAAGGATTCCCAAGACAGAGAATAACTTTTTCTAGAGCCAGTGTTGATTATAAGACTCTCCAGGACAAGACAAGAAAGCAGTGTCAGATCAAAAGTGGAGGTCAAAGCGAAAACACAGACAGGACAACTGCTTTACCCCTCGACTAGGGCGTTACTAGAATGCGGATCAGTGCGGATTGCTGCGGATCGTTCCGCACGGTAAACCAAGCACGTGAACGCGCGGAACGTGCACGGGCGTGTGCCTAGAATGCGGATCAACTATCAAGAATTCAGAATATGCACCATAAGTCTGGCCACGCAAGACTAAACTTCCCGCGCAGTCCTTTGTTCTTCTATTCCACTCCATCTTTATTTGTAGCAATGTTTAACTCTTTATAAAGTAAAAATAACTATTTTTAACTCAGTGTAATAATTTTAAACTTTGAATGTACGAGATTTCAGTGATCATATCAAAAGCCTTCAGTCATTAGTCATAGAATAAATTATACTGCATCTAGATCTAGTTGCAATGAAATGAGTTACAATCTGCATTAAAAACAAACATGTAGGTGTAAAATTTAAACAATGAAAATTGCCTAACAAATAACAATTATTTTCATTGTGTAAAAATGATTATTATGATATTACCAAAAATATATAATATTTTATTGGCCAAAAATTGTTACCACCTATCATTTTTATTTGAAAGTATTTCTTTTACGTGATTACAAATACTGCTCTGATTGCATTAAGATATTTAATGTAAGTGTTTATAATGCTTTTATAAGCAACTTAGACTGATAGCATCAGTGGCTGATATCATTATCTCTTAAAAGTTGCTCAAGAAACTAAGATAATTCAGTTTTAGCAATTATCAATGAACAGTATGAAAAGTAGCTAACAAAATTCAAGTTGACCCAACTCTAGTTGCTAATTAATGCAGAGCATAAGATATTTTTATTTGACTTACTTTCAGAGTCATGTTTCCTACATATATCAAGCTTAAAATTATTATAACTTCCCTCTAATCCTGTAGATATTTAAAAAAGCAAGCAATAAAAATAGTAATGTAAAATTTTTAAAAACTAGTTTAAGTATTAGTAAAAATACATCTATAATAATTAATTAATATCTTTAGTACTGCAACTAGAATCACTGAATAATGATTCACACCGTAGGCTAAAAAATGCTAACTCCATCATTTATTGACCAAGAGTATTTATATACTCTTGTTAAACTGAGTTGTATCTATTCTGACAAAATTTCGGATATAGTAGTGACATAGCTATGAAGCAATTAAGCAAGATATGGTACTCTTGATATGAAGCATGCAGCAATCCACAACTTGAAAGACCTCATTTTTAAAACTATATCTGTACATGTATCCCAATGCAAATGAAAATATCTTTGTGAGGAACTTCAAAATGATATAGCTAGGTGGTAGCAATTTTTGGCCAATAGAATATTTTATATTTTTGGTAATATCATAATAATCATTTTTACACAATGAAAATAATTGTTATTTGTGAGGCAACTTTCATTGTTTAAATTTTACAACTATATGTTTGTTTTCAATGCAGATTGTAACTCATTTCATTGCAACTAGATCTAGATGCAGAATAATTTATTCTATGACCAATGACTGAAGGCTTTTGATATGATCACTGAAATCTCGTACATTCAAAGTTTAAAATTATTACACTGAGTTAAAAATAGTTATTTTTACTTTATAAAGAGTTAAACATTGCAACAGCAACAAATAAAAATGGAGTGGAATAGAAGAACAAGAGGACTGATCTGCGGGAAGTTATGATTCTGAATTCTCGGGAGTTGATCCGCATTCTAGGCACACGCCCGTGCACATTCCGCGCGTTCACGTGCTTGGTTTACCGTGCGGAATGATCCGCAGCAATCCGTACTGATCCGCATTCTAGAAACGCCCCTCGACTACGCCTACGCGGTCTCGGGTAACGACTACGCCTACGCGGTCTTGGGTAATCAATTAAACCATAGATACAGTATATACGTATACAGGGATTGGAAACACCTGGATAATTAATGGTTGAGGGCCTTGAGGCCGAGGCTCGTGACGGGTTAATTTGATTCAAAATGGCCGCCCTATAAATGTTAAAATTACAACCTGTTTATCTCATATATCTTGACGCTGCAGTATCACTGACACTTGATAACAATTCTATAATGTAAAACTAATAGTTGGAATCAAATAAAAGTTGCATGCATTGCAAGTTTATCAAAAATAATCAATAAACGGCAGTATTCTTCACTTGCAGAAACAGCCTTCCAAATATCCACAGGACAAAAATGGTCACTTCATTGTAGCTCATTACATTGGAGAGATTCCTAGGGAACAATACTAATGCCACAGATTTTCGTTATTAGTCATAGTGAAGTTGCCAAAGGGAGAAATTCCACCGTAGGTCCAACCTATTCTTGATGTCCTCAATAAAACACGGCTTAAGAGAAAATTAAGATGAAAAACATTCAGTACATTGGATAATAGTCACATCAATCTAGACATCTCATCATAATAGCTGTTGTGTCATCAATGTAGAAGCTAGAGGGAGAAAAGATCTCAAATCATACTAAAATGGATATATTGCAAAGAGTACCAGTTTATAGAATACCTTCAAAAGAGAGCTTTATGCAGCCAAAGTTTTCCTAGAATGGGGACTACTCAAATCTTAAAAAGTCATTAGACAGATGACTTTCTCGAGACTTTTCTGAAAAATATTCCTGGATATCTATTTTTAACCCGTAACACGCCTAGGTTTTTTGACAATTTTTGTTGTCTCATTGAAATGTTAAGGAAAGGATCACGTGATACCCTGCTGTTTCCAATCCCTGTTGTATACTGTATCTATGATTAAACTGTGTGGACAGAATGACAGAATGACAACCCAACTGCTTAGTACCTGCCTACGCAAGCGTGGCGAGTCCAATAAATAGATAAATATTTCTCACTTGACCAGTTCATCTAGTGTGAATATTTCCCGACACACAACTTCGACTGTTTTAATTTGTCCATCACAACAAGAACCAAGTAAACTCGTAACATGAAGCAACTTCAAGAGCTCAAAACCAACCAAATCCTAAACAGAATAAGTATATTCATGAACCTTCTCTCTCTCCCTCCCTCTCACATCTCTTAAAACTCTAAGTCTCAGTTCAAATGATTTCTCTTCATCAGTTTCCTTATCCTTCATCAATATCTTCCCAAAATGGTCGACATAATTAGCACAAAACAGTTTCATGATGTGCCTCTGATGAAATTTAATAGGGACACCACTTGACTTGCAGGGCTGAAGGAAGACAAAGTAAAACATTAAGTACAATACAGTGTACATATACACAGACAGGTAATGTAATGGTAATGGTACTGTAATGGTAATGGTACTGCACTGGTAATGGTGCTGTAATGGTAATGGTACTGTTACTACTGTACTGTAATGGTAATGATACTGTAATGGTAATGGTGCTGTACTTTTATAACAGCCTCCAGTGTTGTTAAGAACTCCAAGTAGCCTGGACCTTCAACATCTTCATGTACTGCAACATCCCCAACCATTATTCTACTGGCCAACGTGTATATCAACTCAAGATCATGCTCTGTTAGCAAATGACTGATCTTAGGATTATCAGTAACCACCTAATGGAGAGAGAATATACCTTTTATCCTCATAGTCTTATTCTCATACTCTCATTTCTATACACTCATTCCTATATAGACCTTCTGCACGTGACGTCACAATTAAAGGCAGGACTTGTAGCAGCCATATGCATACTGAGTGTCAACAGTGTGCAGTATGGGTAAGTGTTGCTGTGCAGTTTACTGC